TATATATATATATATAAATAATAATAATAAATTAGCATTTTTCCCAACAATACCATGGTAGTACCATGATACATTTAAAAAAAAAACATGGTGGTACTGTAGTACCTTTTGGTACTTTTCTGTAAGTGTAGTCAAAACAGTTTACAAAAGATAGCCTAATAAAGACAAAATGCTCTTATTTTTTTGTATAATAACCCTACGTCTTTTCAAATTCTCGAAAACATTCCTTTAAGTCTTAGCATTACTGATGTACTGCTGTGCATGTACATCACTGAAATTGCTGGTATTATACAATAAGAATTTATTATACAGATGTTTAAATGGCCTTTATCTAACACTTTTCATAATGCATGAACTGTATCGATGAAAACACACTCCCATAAACTATGAAATTGCCTTGGTGTTTTCAAAATGTCCAAACCATGAATGACAGATAAATACAGTAACTTAAATAACACAATTCCAGCTGTCATTACGTGCTGCATCTCGGAGAACAGCTGCTTTAAAGTGCTTCCGTTGTTCCCCCTCGACTGTCGAGTCTAAAACGAGAATATCACGAGAAATGCTCATCAACGCGAGTTGGTGAATGGAGATTTGAAATGTCCCGCTTCTCGACCTGTAAACATTTACCAAGCAGCACTGTGATGAGAAGGACAAGCTGGGAATCATTCACTCTTCCAGTCTCTCCGCCTTTTTCTCTAAGTCTAGCCTAGCTGGCTGCTGATGTCCAGGGCTTTCTGGTACACCTGGGTAACATCATCCAGATCACCCAGCAAGGAGAAGCTCCCATTGTCTCCAGGGGAACCAGGAGGGCTTCGGACGCCCTTTCCACCGGGAAGGGGTGCCAGGACGGACCTCGGTGCGGTTCTGCCAGTCAATGAAGCGGGCCAGCATGGGTGAGCTGTTCTCCCTTTGCGTTTGGCAGTCGCACACGCTGGTCTTCCAGCCCCAGTTCACCCACCAGTGATTTGCAATGTCCTCAACTGTAGCCCTGCGATCTGGATTAACCATCAACATCCAGCGGATCAAACCACGAGCGTCTGAATGAGATGGAGAGATTTGAACTCGGTCAGGTAACTGAGATTTGGGCTTAGATGACTTAGAAATGTCTAGTGAGAAGAGACATACCTGATGACTGTGGCGGTTCTCTGTATTCTCCGTTGCTGATCTGGCGAATGAGTCTTTGGTGGTCTCCTCCATCGAAAGGCATTGTTCCGTACACAAGAGTGTATAGTAATACGCCCAGCGCCCAACTGTCAACCTGTCAAAACAACGCCACACTGATAAATTGGTCCACTGGGAGATACAGTTTTGGAAAATGGTTTATGGAACATTTAAAATGAAAGTTGCATTTGAAATGCAATGAAAATATCCTTTAAATGTAATAATATTGATTAATTTGCTAGTTTTAGTCAAACTATGATACTGTTTTAAAGTACTATTTTAGTTTGAGTTACGTGAAATTACACAAAACAAAATATTATATAATACATATTTGTAATATATTAAAAATTAAGGTATAAATGTATATCAATTTTTATATTTAAAATATATAATTACAAAATGTATATATTGTATTTTATATAACATTACATTTATATAAATGCAATGTTTAGTGCATTATTAATTTAAATGATGATATTCATAATGTACTAACAATTTACTAAATGTCCTAAATTATAAAATACATAATGAAATAAATGATTATATTACACATTGATTTATTATATTTATATATTACAAAATGTATATTTATATATTTACATTTTTATATAACATTTTTCAAAAACATATGCCATTTATCTTTTTAGTAATTTTTCATCAACAGTAACTTTTATTTAAAACAGTTAAATTATCAACATGATGCTCTTTTTTCTATAAAAATTTTCACATATTTAACAAATTCACAGACTGGCTAACCTTTGTACTAGCTGAACATGTGCCGGTAAACACTTGCCGTCATTTAGCAATAGATTAAAAGGTTGTGTTATTTTATTTTCCTGCCTGGGCCACAAAGTCAACTCCACCTATATTTATGAACATTTAATCAAGCTGTCATTGTACACCTAATGTATGAGAACAATAGGTAATCTCACATATATCTGCGCAGTAACAGCCATCATAATTCCTGCTCGTTATTTAATCATTTCTCGTGCCGACCTCGTCTGACCCTGCTGCACCTCTGCTGATTAGCCAAGGGTGCAGGTCAGGAATGAGGAGGTATCGAGGGGAAACAATGGCTGATTACAGCGCAGGAAACATCCACTCCCCGAACTCCAGACCTGTCTGACCCTGAGTAGATGTGAAGAGCTCTGTTATTGTTGGCGCAGATCCACTGATCTCTGACCAGCAAGAAGATGAACGCTGCCTTTCCCATGGTCTCCAGTTATGTAAGGATGATTGAGGGACCAGGGGGATCATTGTGAGTGTGTATGATTGAATGTCCAGAGGCTTTTAGTCTTGCATGTGTCATCGTACAATAAAAACCGGAAAAAGTATGGGAATTTTTATATATTCCTGTGTTCCAGACAGGCTTAGTGTTTGGCTATTAAATATTAGCACCCATGAAGGGTCTATAAGAATGCTTGATATCCTGAAAATAGCTTTGAGATTAGTCCTCATTCTTTTTGGCAAAGTCTTTGTTTCTCATTGGATTATGGAGGATGTTGGGTATGCTGACTGACTTGGCCTGTTAATTGATTCCTGTGGGGAGTGACTGAGTTTGGATGTGGAATGAGGGGTGGTCTCACCTCCCTCAGATATGAGTGGAAACGCTTTCTCTTTCTCTTTGTTATCTGTGTTTTGTTCTCTCATCATTTTGAGACAGGAAGTATATGATTGTGTTTCCTAGCCCACATTTTTTAAAGGTGAAAAATGAAGGCCTCTTAAATGGCAATGTAGGGTTGCATAACTGGAGAATATTAGTTCATAATGTACCTCCGGGCCTCTATACGGTCGTCCGTTCACAATCTCAGGGGAGGCGTACAGCGGGCTGCCGCAGAACGTTTGAAGAAGCTTGTCCTTGTGGTAGAGGTTGGACAAACCAAAATCTGCAATCTGGAAGAAAAAAAATGAGTCAGAACAGGCTGATATTGAGTAGTAAATCACTAGAGGAAAATCAGGACATACCTTAATGTTACCGTTGTCATCCAGGAGGATGTTTTCCAGCTTGAGATCTCGGTGTACTACTCCGTTCTGTAAGACATCATCAAAGCCATAGTTTTTAGATCAACTTATAGACATCATAGGAACATCACTTTTTATGCTGCCACCTAGTTTTGTCATATTTGTTGTCCTACAAAACACTGTAATGATCAATAAATACACTGTTATTCTTTAAAGACAGCAATATTTTATGGAAGGGAAAAGTGACATTTCCCTTCATCCACTGTCAAATGGCCTGATCTGTGTATCTCCTCCCTCCTTTCCGGGACTACCTCCTTGGAATCCCCCAGCTGAGTTGATGACATCATCAGCCCAGCTGTATAGAAACAAAGGCCAAGCCCAGGCTGAATTCCCCCAGGGCATTTAATTTTCCAGCTGACACGGCCCCGGGTACCGGCTGACCCTTTGTACTGATCTAGGAACGGGATATTCTGCTTTAATCCTACCCTTAATCTTTATAAAACTAGAAAAATATGCTCTAAAATGTGAAATAAAAGGGAAAACAATGAATAAATATGTGCTGGATCAATGCGAAAGGTCAATTTGAAGTATATCACATTCGGAAAGTGGGAAAAATGGGAGATGAGGAGGGGTTTGGCACCAGGACAGAAGAGCACAGCTGCTCTCTGGCTCCACAACCTTTCGCATCGAGACGTTCTTGGAAGTTTATCCTTCTCATATCATGTCAAGTCCTCCTTCATGTAGTAAATCATTTTATTGGCTGCACGTGAACATTGCACAGATCACAGATGTCAGTTGTTTAGTTTGAGAGGCTTTAAGGTACGAGACGCTGTGCCATAATGTAATTGTAGTCACGGTTAAAGGCTAAAGCACCTTAGCTGCATAAGGTTAAAGGCAAGAAATGCAATAGAGCCTATTTTTACAATATTCCAGCTGAAAACCAGTTTAAGCTAGTTTGCCTGGTTAAAGCTAGTCCCCAAACCTGCCCAAATTGGTCTGGCTAGGCTGGCCAAGCTAATGTTTAGCAGCTCTATTCCTCTAAAACCAACCAAAAAACCAGCTTAGACCAGATAAGACCAGCAAACTGGCTTTGTTTTTTTATTTTTTATTTCGCCAAACAGTTATTACATAAAAGTATAAAGGACACTTTTTAAAAAAATAATAATTTAAGTAAAAATTTAAAACTAAAATTTACTTTTGTGACCAAATACATTAAATGGAGAATATAAGATTTACAGTAGCATCTGATTATGATCCACGGCTGAAACTAGTTGTTTTATTATTTCTTGTTCTTCCATAATACAGAAAACCTTTGTCTTCAGTTTTTCACCTAGTTTGAAAGATCATACATTTTGCATATGCACTTCAGTTTGCTCTCTGCTAACATATCTTCTATATGAATATATAGTCCAACCAAAAATGACACGTCTACCATCATTTACTCACCCTCATGTAATTTTAAAGCTGTATGACCTTTATGACTTTTTGTGACACACACACACAAAGTTATTCAGTACTGTTTGTCTATATAATGCAAGTCAATGGGGTCCAAAATAACGCCTTTCATTGTATGGACCAAAAAACCCTCCATTTTCAGAATAATTATATATGCAGAATTCAGAATAATCTTCTTTTGTGTTTCCCAGTAGAAAAGGTCATACAGGTTTAGAATGATATGAAGGTCAGCAAATTAGTTTTTAATTTATCTCACCGCACGGCTCCACCAGCTCCACCCTCACCTTGTGGCAGAAATGAACAGCAGAGACAATCTGTCTGAAGAAGTGTCTGGTCTCCCTTTCGCTGAGTCTTCGGCGCTCGCTGATGTAATCGTACAGCTCGCCCTTACTGGCATATTCCATCACGATCACAATCTTATCCTTATTCTCGAACACTGTGAATAGAAGCAAATACAACAGCGCTTGATTAGATTACTCAACATCATTGCATTATAGGCCTTTGCTTGTTAAAGCGACAGCGCATGGAAATGGCTCTCTAGCTAAATCTCTCTGTCATTGACTGTTAACAGCTTTCGTTGGGCCGTTGCCAGTATGTAGGAGTCAAAATCGCCAGCGAGTCTGGCTTTAGTCAGGGTCATGGCGATTAGGAGCTGTCTTTGCAAGCGAGACCACAACTGTTAACAGGTGTTAAGTGCAGAGAGGAAGCGAGATTTGGTGTACGTGATCCTGGATGGTGGCGTAAACATTCCCGTTCTAAGAAAAGGTACATGTTTTGCACAACACAGTATTCTTAGTAGCAGCTCTTACATTAATAGCCATCATTTAAGCAAATCAGAGAAGTGTTTATCTTGCAAATCTCGATGGAAAAAATGGGATCTCAGCAAATCTTTGTTTTTTTTTTGCAGGGGAGTGAAGCTGTTGCTCCATTCAGATCCTCCTTCACCTTCTGCTGATACAGCAGGAGCATCTCTATAGTGACCCTTCATTGTTTACCGCCCAGAGGCTGGTTGTCACAGTGATGGTCAGTGGACCAAATAGACAATAAATGTGGGTTTCCTTTGACTCTCTTGGTGTCACTCTCAACAGCATGTGTATTTGGACACCTGCTGACTGTCTAGGACTAACCAAGCTTGTTGGAATAACCTTCGAAAACCAGTTAAGTTCACGTTCAAGACATCCAAACCAGTGCTAGAAGCTAGCACTGAGTAATTACCTCTCTCGGCTAATCCGTATTAGACACAGGAGACTGAGCGCTCTCCGTTTTGGCACCGACTCTCAGACCGATCCAGGGTCAGTAATAATGACCCCTGGCTGAGATCGCGGCGTGAGTCCACAGCCGTGGCGTCTCCCTCTGTCAGTGTGGAGATAAAGCAGCTTTGTTTTGAGTATCGCTGCATTCGGGGCCTAATTTGGTGGGTTTTTGATTTATGTTCTGAGAGGCAAAGCTACATGCGTGGGACATTTCAAACATGCTGATTGCTGCAGGACTGTAATGACTTCAATGCATTCCCTTCATCTCCATTTGAGAGTTTACACCCCCAACAACGTTGTTGCCTGATCAACACCCTTGGGCTAGCAGGGTGCGGTCATATCGCATAAATAAAACGTGAGGGCAACTGATCTAAAGATGATTGGATGTTGAGAAAAACCACACGCGGCAGCAAAGGGTGTGGAATTTACACATGTTGAGAATCAAAGTTGAAGGGGTTTGTAGACTTTTGATGTGTGCTCGGTTTCTGAATACATTAAGTGGAGTTGTGGTGTCTCAGTGACAGTGTTTTACGACTAGCAGTGAGAAAAAGACCTACCTTCGTATATAGAGATGATGTGTGGATGGCGGAGAGAAGACATGATCTCGATCTCTCTGCGGATGTGCACCATGTCTTGTTCATCTTTAATCTTCTCCTTTCGGATGGATTTAATCGCCACCTGAGAACCAACAAACAAGTAGAATCAACTATGTGAATCCTATTTGTAGCACGTTAGCATTTAGGCAAAGTACTATTAGTGATTCTTTTGATTGGAGAAACTAGAAAATATTGATGGATTCCTGGTTTAGTAGCAATTTTTCAGTTTGATGTATTGATGAAGATGAGGGTCAAAGGTTAAAAAACTCTGATTGATGATATTTGTGTTCCAGTGGCATCCTGGCTCAGGGGTCATAGATCATAGAAACAGAAGAGCCTACTCCCTTTTATGGTGTCAAGAACTTCCTGTCTTAGGCGGTCAGGTGACCCACAAATTTGCTGAACTAACAAATCTATTAGTAGTAGCACTCTTTTTATTTAACCTGCAGAGCAGTTTAATATAATGGGTTAAAACATGGACTTGGGTTATAACAGTTAACTAAAACTAAAATACCACAAAAAAAAGTTTTCATTACATGAATTAAAATAAAATAGAATAAAACTTAAACTTATTTTATTTCAGATAGTTGCTACGTCAACATTTATAATTTCATTTAGTTTAACTTGAAGTACTAAAATAAACTAAAATCTATATAGACCTATGTAAAAAAATGACAAAAATAAATGACAAAATTATAAAAAATAAAATAAAATTTAATTTAAAATATTAACAAAAACTACAATACTGTCTTTTTTATAATAAAAATAACAGCATCTTTAAAATAGTGTGATAAAATACAATAAAAATAATGTAATATGATATTTTATGGTGATAATATGCTTTAATTATTATGAACTATGTAGATAGTCATTTAAAAGATGCATAAATCATATAAATTATTTTATTCCCAATAGAACGCATTAAACTTTATTTCAGTACTTTTCTTTTTTTTTTCTTTTTCAAAGTTCTGAAGAGAGATGTTTTTTGTAAGCTAAAGGCAATGACGGTCTAGATCTGGACTTAACGGCTTAACCTTGAGCGAAAATGGGTTTCTGTGAAGGTGAATGGCTTTTTTTGGGAGAAGGCGCACCACAGGAGTTATTTTTAAACGTCCCATTTACCAGCTCCCAAACAGGCTCTATCACAGAGATGTGTCAGCGCTCAAAGGCCTGCTTTCAAAGAAGCTCTTTTTTATTTTTACATATTTTTTTAATAATGCAATGTTATCTCGAGCATAAATGTTTTAGTTTTAGTGGCTAAAGTAATTTACTCAATATCTTAAAGTCCTTTATATGCATGCTTAAGGGAGCTGAGAAGATTTCTGCCTTGCCAAGTCTGAGTGGTCATGAGGAGGGATTAAAGTTGCAGGAAGTTTGCAGCATGTTCCTCCACTGACTCATAAAACACGAAGAAGGGGAAGTGGCGCTGACAGAGCTGACTTCCTGTCCACCCAGTGCAGTTCACAACCCTGCCAACCCAAGCCTTTTAAGGGCAAAATGGTGTTCATGCAATGTATTGTTTTCTTGTCAGATGACATCTACAATGCATGCATTGCATGTTACAGCCTTATCAGTGACTTATGTAAGACTCATAGTGCAGCGCTTGTGATAAATGTATTTAACGAGCCACTTGGATATGATCTGTCTGGTTACAGTCTGCTGTTTGTCACTAGGCTAGTGGATGGTTTTAAAAAGGCTGTAAGGTAGAGCCAGAACGAGTGTGATTGCATGTGTTAAGAGCCACTTTAGGATCTCAATGTGATATAATGTCTTATCCTCTCAAACTTTACCCTAATTACAGTGAAAGCATAAACTCATTAAAATTGCATCGCAGCAGATGGCCACGCAGGTAATTTTTTGACCTCGCTGAAGGAAGCGTACATGGATGAGCGGTATTGTTACCCAGCCTGTGGCTACAGATCATTAAGCCAACCTGTGTTTGATGCCTTTGCCAGCTGGCTGTAGGCTTTGCTCTTCTCTAACCCCTGGCTAAAACTGAAGCCTTCTTATTGTCTCCTAGACATAGACCAGCCCATTGCCTGAGCCTCACACAACAGCTGTGTTGTTTTACCTGTCCGCCGTTTAAGGGGGAAAAGGGAGCACCTTTACTCACCGGAGCATTCGTGCGGAACAAAGTTTTGGAAAAATGCATCATAGAAAATTGAACACAATGAAGGAGCAAAAAAAGAAAGTCAGTCTTTGCATTTGTTGTTTCTTTGCAACTTCCTCTGCCTTTTCCATCTTTCTATGTCGTAGCGTTACGTTAGTATACGTAACGTATACTATGTCAGTGTCCTTTAAAAAAAAACAAAAAAACAAAAAAAAAACCTGAAATTCAACACAACCCTTGTTGAAAAAATTATTTTAAATAAATGGAGCAAGCAATCCATACACTAAAATACTGTTTCAATAGTATAGCCATAAGATAAACAATATGCTTGTAAAAATTATTACTTAAAGGGGTCATATGATGTTGCGAAAAAGAACATTATTTTGTGTATTTGGTGTAATGAAATGTGTTTATGCGGTTTAAGTAGGGCTGGGTATCAATTCAGATGTTCCAATTCGATTCGATTCCGATTTTCAAGCTCTCAATTCTATTCGATTTCGATTTTCTATTCGATTTCAATTTTCGATTCGATATTCGATTTGATTTTTGATTTCAATTCTCGATTCGATTTGACTATATGAATGAATATAGATTTAATACAAATCCTATATTTATAAAAAATGAACAGTGAACATAAGATTACAAATGGTTAATTAATAGGAAATTAAGAGCCACAAACCTGTATATTAAACACTTTTTATTTTAGGTACACTTGGGCAAAACTTGCGTTTGAATCGTCAGTGGCAAATCCTTTAAATATGAAAGCGTACTTACAGGCTGTGAGTCAGCATTATTTGTCAGCATCATAGACTGTGGTCAGCATGCGCGCCGAAGGGGAAACAGGGGAACTGAATTCATCAGAACACCAGCATTGTAGACTACTCTCCCAGGAATCAGTCCTCGTCCTCCGTAAAATGCGTTGCACACATCTGAATATTTGATTTGAATTCTTCTGTAACAGTGTTGTAAATACAACTTAACCACTGATTTCTAGTCGTGTCCTCTTTTGGAAGGCCAAACAAAGTATTTTCGCTTTCGCAATGAAACACACAGCGTCTTCACAACATGGATGCGGCGGTGGCAGCAACAATAAAGTTACGCCTTCTTTCTTTGCGTGAACATTTGGGCGGCATTATGCAAATCTTCCCACATCGTGACGTAGACATGTGGGGGTGTGTTAGAACGAGCCGTTTTAGGAGGGCGTGGATGAGTCTTAACTTTTATAAAGAATATCTCTTTGGGTTTGAGACTTTAGTCTTTGCAACTTTAGGGATCTTATCTATTCACGAACAGCTTGTAACACTCCAAAGAGAAAGGAAAACTTGAAATTGCATCATATGACCCCTTTAATTGCCATTACAATGTAACTCCTAAACCCCTAAAATGACTATAAAAATGCTAAAGAGGCTAAGGCTAAAGAGCAAAAGCCAAGACTACACGATTATAAAGAAGCACAATCAAACAGTCAATATATATGTTCTGGTTTAACTCATCCCACAAAGTTATGAATTCTTTCCTTTGCTACTAGCATGAGTCATGCATTCCTTCAGCCATCGGTCCATTCAGACAATGAGCATGGACTGCGACTCCAGAATTTTTTCAGTTCGTACTTGCTACTTTATCATCTGCCCCAGTCCACAATGTCTACCTGTCTTTTTTCCATCACCGGACGGTGTTAATTCTGAGGAAATGCTCATAAGTGGTTTCCATTATTAGGTTACCAAGTCCCGGACGTGACTCTGAGAGCATCCTGCGCTCAAGCAGCTGTTGACATCAGGCCACATTTTCGCCCACAGCTCTGACCCACTAGGTCCATATCTGCCCCACTCAAGATGCAGATCTGTCTCGGGATTAATGCACTGACCTAGTTCCAAAACAGAAGTGGTTTATCCTAGTTTTTCCAACTTATCTTGCTCTACAGATGTTGTGCATTTCTTAGCAATGGTGGCGAGGCCAAAGCGATACGTAAAGGAGCTTAGGTTACTTGCGACATAAACATACCTCTCATGCTTTGAAACCTTTGACCTGCTCAACTTCTAGATGACCTAAATGAGCTGACCCCTGTTACTGAGGGACGGAAGACAGCACTTGCCCTGTGAAATTGTGCATGTAATGATGGCCATTAAGGGCATATTTACTTTCACCAAAGTTTCAAAGGAATGTTTAATTAGGTCAACTGATATCAAGTGAAACCCACACAACATCTCCCATATGAAAGGATAATCACAAACGAGATCTCTTTAATATCTCTGTTCAATCCAATAGGACAATGAGATGAAACAGAAACATTCTCTTGTCTTCTGCTTTTCCATGATCACTCTTAAAAATAAAGGTTCTTTAATTACATTGATGGTTCCACAAAGAACTTTTAACATCCATGGAACCTTGCCATTTCACAAAAGGATCTTTATAGTGAGATTATTAACATGTTCTTCACACTAACAAAAAAGTTCTTTGGGGAGTAAAAATGGTTCTTCTGTGGCAACACTGTGAAAATCCCCATTTGGAACCTTTATTTCTAAGAGTGATGGGGAAAAACACTACATTAAAAAAATAAATAAATAAAAAACTTCAACACTCAGCTCAGATTTGACAAGATGCAAAACTCATTTAATTCTTCCAAAATCAAATGAACTGGTTGGTTTATGCAACTCATTTGATACCTATCTAAGAACTTCATAAGATCTCTTGAGCTTTGAAAGAGCAATTTTTGGGTCGTTGAATGTTGGTCAACTCACCGCTCGTCCAGTGTGCCTCTCTATGGCTTTCTTCACTTTTCCATATGTTCCTCTCCCGAGGGTTTCGAGCAGCTCGTAGCGGTGCTTCAGGTTGTGTTTGTGGTGATGTTTCTTCACGCTGGAGCCTCTCCGTACACCAAGAGAGGCTAGCATCTCTCCTCCGGGATAGTCCACCGGTAGAGGCTCACTTTCATTCGCTCCGTTACTCGCTAACTGGGATGATTCCGTCTCCATGGTTTCCTCAGCGATGTGTCCAGATGCTCGATAAATCTTAAAATCGGTGCTCAGCCGTTTCAGAAAGTAAGAAATATCCCGAACTCGGTGTTCAGTCGTTAGTTAATCTAATGAATGGGGTCTGGGATTTGTAGGGGGCGTCTGAGAACAGCGACCCGTCAGTCATTCATCGGTGAAGTGCTCGTCTCGCCTCTGGCAGCTCAAATACGCGCGACTCCATGTTTACCCGTCCATCCCATTACCGGCGCGTGTTCCTCCTCCCCTTCTCTTCCCTTTTCTCCAGAGTAAAGACTACAGGAATAAAGAATGCAGCCTGGATGAAGCCGGAGGCGGAGTTATAAGTGCAGGTCTCTCTCTCTCTCTCTCTCTCTCTCTCTCTCTCTCTCTCTCTCTCTCTCTCTCTCTCTCCTAATGGAATAATGGCGTAATGGAGAACACATAATTGTATTTTATTAGGTTTGGTCAGTGCTTTCCCTTCATCACACTCTCTCAATTATTCTTCAATTTAATGTGCTTTATCGGCATGACGAATAACTGTACATTTCTAGGACTAAAGCATTTCCAGTTGCATGTAATATGCATGTGTTTTGCAGCAATGTATAGTTAAAATGATTACAATATAACAGTAATTAAAAATATGATTCAACTGAGTAGCGCAACAGTATTGCTTATCTCTATTAAAAGCCTGATATTGACATGAAAGTATTTAGGTATTTAAGTGCTAAAGTACAAAAATAGACAACGAAAATAAGGTGAAGTGAAAAAAAATAACTCGAAAGTGAACCAAAAAGAGTAGGCTAAGCGTCAAAGCAAATTATTATTAATAATATCATCTAATGGATTTTTTAAAACAAACAAACAAACAAATAACGGATTCATTGCATAAATACACAAATAAAAAATATAGCATAAATAAATAGCCCAAACAAACAAACGAATAAAAATACATTAATGAACTTTAGGTGTGGCTAACTCTTAACTTTTATAAAGAATATCTCTTTGGATTTGAGACTTTAGTCTTTGCAACTTTACAGATCTTCTTTATGCACCAAGAGCTTGTAACACTCTAAAGAGAAAGGAAAAAATGAAATCGCATCATATGACCCCTTTAAGCACATTGTAGGCTGCTATATTTATTTCAATGTTAGCAAGCTCTTTGTGTAGATATTTTGTCTACTGCACTGGGCAGGTGCAGTAATGGCTTTTCTAATGAAGAATCTCTGGTTTTTGTTTCCTTGAAGTCCACTTGATTTGTTTTTGTTTGCTTTGTGATCCTAAACTTTGGTAGCTCTCAGGACAGTAGCAAACATTACGCACAGTGAGCAAAATATGGCTCAACAGCGCCCTCTAGCAACAGCACGATATTTATGCGGCTGTCGTATAGTGGGATCATTGGGACGTACTGCCACCATACGGAGAACTTAAAGTATCACTAAAATAGGCTGTGTTTTGATAACAACGATACCACTCATTTTGTTTCTGATGTAGCCTATACTGAATACTCACATTTGGCAAAACGTTCAGTATGCAACAGTTCAACTTGATCTTAATTGGACTTCTGTGAGACATTTTACAAAAAAAAAAGAGTTATTATGCAGTATTGTATGTATATACTGTTTTCTGCCCTGTTATTTAAAAAGTAAGTGTAACTGAAAACATTGTACAAAAAAGTATTTGTTGTCATCTGACCTTACTATGTTTGTCACATGACTTCGCACGATATTATGACCATCATCCGTCAAACTGCAAATGGAAGGTCAAGTTTAGCTCAAGGATTGTTCTGCATGTTAACAAATAAGTCATCTTGATATTCTATGCATGCAATAATATATACATACTCTACTATTTGCTTCAGCAATATTTAGAGTAGTACAGTAGCCATAGATTTTCAAGGAATTTGATTTGTCACTAGAAGGGGCTGTGGGGCAAAAAAACAAACAAACAAACAAAAACGCGTATTTCAACAATTCTGCTAAGTGTAATAAACAATAAGTGCATTAAAGATAAATATCAGACCTGAAAAAGCTCTAGTTTAGGGCTGTTTTTATATAGTAAATGCTTACACAGTCTTTACTCTGCCACAGAAGTGGATCATTGTTCTCTGGTATTCTGGGCTATGTTTTGATGGACAGGCCCTAAAATCAGATATGATGGCTGATGTGCAGCTGATGTTACCCACTGAGAGCTGAGCAGTCAATCTGAGAGCTGAGCATTCTGGGATTGACAGTCAGATAGCCAACAGCAAAAAGACGAGTATGCAAGATCTTTTCTACCCTAAAAAGTTTAGTGAAAGGTCCTTGGTTAGAAGTCTTTGGGGTCATTAGCTCATATGACGTCAGACATATCTGCATGATTCAATCCTTGCGTGCAGGAAATGAATAATCATGGTTTCTGAATGTACTGTGACTGTCGCTTACTGTCTTGCCTGTGGCGTGACATAGGTTGTACTGTACATTACTCTGACATTCTTGATTTTCCTTTATATTTTCATTTCCGTCATCCTAGATCAGTGGTTTGTTTGTGTCATACACACTAGCCACACAGTCAGGCAATCTGGAGTTGCGTCATTTTATTTGACGTGACATGAAAGCCGAAGTATTCAGTTGCATATTAGTGTAAATTACATAATTGCATATATACAGTATAACCATATATTATCTCTGACATTACTATAAATAGGAATGCAATCTGTGGTAGTGATTATCAGATTTCCTACATTACCTACATACTGTACTTGAATGACTGTTTCTAATTCTGAAAAATGTCCAAGAATGTTTGAAATATTAGCTTTGTAGAATAATACATAAATTATATATATATTTATTATTATTATTATTATTATTATACATTTTCCTATCTGATAAAAATACAGTAAGTTATATTGTGAAATATTTTCACAATTGCTGATTCGCTACAATATATATATATATATATATATATATATATATAAACATATACCCCAGTGGAATTAGTCAAGCAATATAGCCTCTATAAAAACTTAACTATTGTTAAAATTTGGGTTTTGCAATTTTGATATTTTAATTGAAAGTTTTATGAGAATAACTAAGTAAACCATTATTTTCAAATTATGCTAGATATTAAATAATCAAATTTATCAGTACAAAATATAACGGCATCAGTATTGTAGTGTTACTGTAGGAAGTGTTCTCACCCTTAAAAGGAAGCTGTGTTTTGCCCTCGGACCCACAGACCCCTGAGTCACTGAGAGACAGGCAAGACCCGAGCAGTCTGTCATCTAGAACATTGCGCAATACACACGCACAGGCCTACCTCAGCACCAAACACACTCACACACCAATATCCAGATGTGCTGATCTACTTTTTTCTATTCTTAGATTCAAAGTGATTTCTTACATCACTCTTACATCATTCACATACGTCAGCAATCTTGCATCTCACTTTAAATTCCACTTTAAAGTGAAATTACTTGTCAAATGCAGTTTTTCTTTCCTGTGTGTGACGTATTTCATGTTGAAATGTGGGTGGGGCACATAAAAAAGCTGGTTTTTATTGGCCAATAGGCTCAAGTTACGTCACAGCCACAAACCATGATGTGCTACTAGCTGCAGATGGCATTAAAAAGCATTTTATATGACAAAATTATCCCAGAAGAGAAAATCTAAAATCTGCTGAAAGTTTCATGCATATATGAAACTTAAAACTAAAAGACATGGACTAAAAGCCACAAAAGTCCAGTTTTGGGTTTTTGTAGTCTTTACTGTGTTTTACAAATAATGCCGTTTTTCAAGGCAGAACCATTCTGCTGTTTTAAAGCTTTTTCCTCCTTGAACATGACAACGCACCTGATTCTGTGACACATGGTCTTGTAAAATGGTAAAGTTCAGGCGGAAGCATTGGCCCCAGGCTGAGACTGAACTCCAGCATAATTGAAGGCCTTTCTGTCCTACTGTATGAAGATTAACCTGTCATTACATGCAGAGGGCAAGATAGAGACACACACAACTCCCATCCAGATTTCATTTAAGAAAATAATTATTCATCCCAAAACACGTGTAGTTTTGCCTAGCCCAAATTAGCCATGAGTGAAATGTTTGCTCAGCACATTATTGTTTTTTTTAATGTGCAAAACAGCGATAATGAAATCACATAAAGATATAATGAAATCAGAAAAATAAGAGATAATGAAATCAGAATATATTTGTTATATAAATATACACACACACACATACATATATTAAGGGAATATTGCATAATAATTTTCAAGCTCCAATGTTGTATGGTGGGAATTGTAGTTGCAATACCATTTTAAAATTTTTCATTGAAATTCTTTAATAAATACAGCAAACATTGCATCTGTGCTGAAGAATCTATGGTTTTATTGTCATTTTGTGTTGTCAGCTCAGTTCATTCAGCGAACATTTGCTTTGCCACTGATAAAATTTGAAAACATAAAATGAAAATATGATTCAGAGGAGTTTAACTTATGTGGAATTATAAATAGTAAGCACTTGGTACATAGAAAATATTTTAAAGAATGAGTTGACTTTAAAGGTGAAACAGTTTCCCCCTCTCCTACTATATGCATGTTTTTGATAATTACAGCAATGAATTGGTTTGAAATGCTAGAGTATGAAGCAAAAAGATGCAAAAAGTCAGGTTTATTTACTGGGATCTGGTGAAGTCTTAATTGATGGCGCAGAGTCAAACATGCTTGATAAGTGTGGACCAGCATGTGTCCTTTGTGCTGTCTAGTAGTGCAGGTGAAAGGCCAATGTTTTTTTTTTTCCTAACAGTCGTGCTCAGGTACAATTCTGCACTTAAGGATCTTTAGATAGTTCTGGACTTTGTTTGAATCACGTCGAAAGCAGTACAGGAGCTCGTAGTCGCTCATGGCCTCTCCGCTGTCAGAGAGAGGAAGCATGGCTTCTGCCGCAGACAGACCTGTCACAGAGTTGCCGAGCATTCCCAGTACTCGCATCTGACAGAGGACAAGAGAGAACAATGAATGAATCACAGCGTTTTAGGCATTTTCCACAAATAGGTTACAGAAAGTTCACAAACCGTTTATTGTCAACCACAGCAGGTGTAATGGAATATTTTACTTTATTTTAATTTTTGCAACCCTGTTCCAATGTTTGATTAATTTATATGTTTGATTAATTTGTCATAAAAATATCACTTAGTAGGAACCTAATAGTTTAAGGTCAAGTGCTGGTTTTGTTATTGGATAACTAAACATTTCCCATTAATTAAAGAAAATATTTATTATATTCATATTGTCTTGCCAGAACTTGAGTAAAGCTGAACGGTTAAGCTTGGAAAATGCAGCAAACACTAACATTTTTGTTAAAATGTAGAAAATGCAATAGGCAAAATTATTAAATTTTCTTCTCCATGTCACATTTTTTTTTTGTAACTACAAGTTTTTAGTAATTAAAATTACATCAATATATATATATATATATATATATATATACACACATACACACACATACATACACATACATACATACATACATACATATTAAAATTTTTATGGAATTTTTACTATAATGAAATATTTTGAGAAATGCACTTTTCTCTCCCCTTAGAGTCTGGTAATAGTCATAATTTGCAAGTCATATACCATTCATTTTGCAATGTGATCATACTTATTATGATATATGAAAAATATGTGGAAAATGCATATTTGCATTTCCAAATTGAGATATAATACTGTACTTTAAACCTAATATTTATCTAACAGAGATGCTAAAGTAATTAAAATTGATTTAAAATGTTTTTGACTATAAATGATGATATATTAAATATAATACTAAAATAAATAAAAAATTATATTTTTTTCTTAAAGATGGTCAAAATGATCACTTTAATTTATCGCTTTAACTGTTGCTGCATAGAAAAAAAAAACAGATAAAATGTGTTATCAGCTACTATTTATAATATTTATAATATATCTTATACTCTTACAATCTCAAAACATATACAAAACAGATAATACTCAAAACATCAAAGATCTTGTGGAAAGTGCCTCCAGTAACTCATAAATACAATCACACAAGTGTCTCACACCTTTTCTTATTCCCTGATTTGATGTGACTCACCTTCTCAGCTACTTTCTCCACCCCTTTCCTCAGCTCATGGGCCATGTCCCCCATCTCCAGGGCTTTGTTACTGCTGAAGCTGTTGAAGTCCTGCTGGTGAGCCATGCTCTGGTGCAGCTGGAACAGGGGGTCCCTCCAGGCCATCAGCAGTTTAAGAATCACCTCCGTTAACTCTTCACGCTGACACACAAGAGTTTAAGGAGTTAAAAGCTACAGGTATGCAGGAACAGTAGTGTTGATTTGTCTGAAACTATATATAATATACTAATGAGGTTTGAGAGTTTGAGGAGATGGTTGCTGGGTTACTTAATTTAGCAGATGTGACTTTAAGTGCATTAATTGATGGGACAGTTCTCTTGGGACGGGCTGCGGTTAAGTGCTTTGCTCAAGGGCACAGAGGTGATAAGACAGCAGTGGGATCAGAGAATACAGTCCATTAATGACAAGCAGTGGCAGCAGAATCACAGATGCTCGATGTGATAAATGCAGCTTAGAGCTGAACTTGGGGACGTTTTTTAGGAAGCGGTTGTTGGCTGATTAGGATGTTATACTCACAGCTAGTTTCTGTGCATTCTCTTTGCCGTTTGGAGTCAAAATGTTGGAGGTGTGACACTTGCGGTAGATCTTTCTAATATGGTTTTTGCTGGGCAGGAAATACTGTTCCTTCAGTCAAAAAGAAAAAGAGAAGATGAAGAGGAAAAAAACTGAAACTGAAGCCACATTCAGTTTGCAGAAAGATATTTAGTTTATTACTTTAGCAATTTTATATAAATATAGTTATATTTAAATGTTAGAATAAAATTATTATTTAGTCATCTTTTAAATTGTATATATTAATAATATAGATTTTACATTAACTTTTAGTTAAATGCTATTATGTAGTTTATTATGACAATAAAATATCTAAAAATAATCTGATGCACTTTTAAAAAAATATAAAATGTCTATTATTATTTAAATTCATATTTTAGATGAGCAAAAGTAGTTCATTTCAAGTTTATGCATGTTATTATGCATTTTAAATATCTAAAAATACTAATATTATTTTAATTCATACTAGATATGAACAAAAATAGTAAATTTAATTTTGCATTTTATTATGCACTATAAAATATCTACAAATGATCTGATGCACTTTTGAAATATTTCTAAAATATTATTTTTAATATTATTTATTTATTTATTTTATTATAAGTTTAACTTATAATATTTTTAAAATATTAGTCTAATATTATTTAAATTCATACTTTATATTAACAAAGAGTTAATTTTGCTGTTATGCATTTATGAATTTTTACTATGCATCTAAAAAAGTCTATTATCTTAATTAATATTAACAAAAAGAGTTAATTTTGTTGCTATGCATTTTATCATGATAAATATGTAAATAAATATCTCACAATTCATACATGATATTAGCAAAAAGAGATGATTTTATCTGTATTAACAAGAAAAAAATTTCAGTCAGTTTATGCATTTTTTCCCTTTTGAGATTAGTAGATTATTTACTCTATATAATAACTTTAGGTAATATTCATACATATTTGCTAATTTATATACTGTGCATTTTGATATACATAATCATTTTGCTAAAAATGCATTCTTGCATTACAAAATTTGGATATAATACTGTAGCACATGCACAACATTTTACAACCTCCTCACTTTATTAAGACAGTTGCATTAGCACAATTAGAAGAAGAGACAGATGTGACTCACAAACTCTGAGTGCAGATCGTTGGAGAGGCTGTGCATTCTGGCAGAGTGCTGAATGACCCTGTCGAAGAGATCTGCCAGGGACGGGACGTGGCATCCTGATGACCCGTGTGCGCAGATGGGTGCGGAGCCGACCCGGCCGTGAGGATCCAGGCACAGAAGTACCACAAGCAGCACAGCCACTGCCGGCACAGACAAACCCAAAGACAGAGAGAGAAATAGAGGAGCAGAGGGTTAGAGAAAATCTAAGTTCCTCTGAGAAAAACAGGGGAGTACATCCACAGATGGAGAAAGAGATTTGATTTCTAACTGTAGACAGCCACATGGGCTTCAAAAGCTAGCTAGTCTCCTTGAATCAGAGCCTCTGTCAGTTCATAGAAATACCTTGCTTCAGGCTCCTGGACATTCTGAGAGGAGAGGAGAGGAAAGGATAGGTTGTGGAATAGCAAGGGGTCAGACTGCTATTTAAAGTGCCCAGAGTTTAGGTGCTGAGGGACGAATCTGCCCATTAAAGAGAAGGGAAGAACGAAGGGGGCGGGCATGAAAAGTGTGCGTGCGTGATGATGGCGTGATTGTCGTAGTCCATTGTGTCCGTTCCTTCAATCAGGTGGTGACTAATGCCTCTTCCCCCCACCCAAGTCCCTGCAGGCTGCCCGCTTCGATTTTGCGTTTCCTCTTTAACCCTCTCTCTGTCCTGTCATCTGCCCCACCAGAGTAACCTGGGTGATTGGTGCTCTTGACTTTTGCCATCCAACATGACCCGAAACGCCAGTAAGTCGTGCACTTTAAATAGTCATTGTAAGGAATAAGTGGTTTACGGAAATGGACTGAGTTGCTTTTAGAGTTTTCAATTCATTCTGCCCTGTCAGTGTTCAGTAAAGCATTGGTGTACTTCCAAAGACTGGAAAATGTTATGCATGAAAATATAAATCAATTATAAAATAGATGCATTTTTCATGCATTGTAACATTAAATGAAGTAGTTAGAAAAAAATGTAATTGAGATATTTACATTCATATACATAAAATATAATATAATATATTTATGAGATTATATTATGATTTTAGGATTAAATAAAAAAAATAAAAAAGTGCTTAGGGGAAAAATACTAATATATAATAAAAGTAAATATATAGTAAATAAAACAGATGCATTTTTTTTGCATTGTAACATTAAAACATTAAAATAAACATTAAAATATTTATATTTATATACATAAAATTGTATTATATTATATATTATTTCATATTATATTACATTATATTGTATTATTTATTAAATTACATTATTATGAATTTTTGCATATTTTGTATTTTACCATTAAATTAAGTGGTT